GTTTCAGTTGCTGCTCTGCAGCTCTGGGACCAGCTACACATCAGCCTCCTCACTGCCTGTTTATAAAACTAATCTTGAAAATTATTTTTACTAACTGGCCTTTAACACAGTTTGACATCTTGGTCTTTTATAGTTTATTTTACTTGTTTTTAATGTTTGAGTGTTTTTAGTGTTGATTTGTTTTATTGTTTTTGGCCCCTCATGTACAGCACTTTGTGTCAGCGGCCGCTGTTTTAAAGCGCTTTGTAAATAAARTTGATTTGATTTGATTTTATTGACAATATTTCAACACAAAATACATATCAGATATTTAAAAATAAAAATGTTACCATAATGTGAATGAACACATTTTGTAAACAAGGCGTCAACAACCGCGGTTAGGGTTAACAAGTTAGCTAACACTAGCACCAAGAACGTCACTGAAAACATTTGATCCTGTGTTCCCCAGGACGTAAACAGAAAACACTGACAAACTGTTGATGTAACAATACCAGTAAAACAYGTACGGTTATGTCTTCAAGGAGCTAAACATTAGCACACAGCTAACAGAAGACACGATGCTACTGCTATCAAAACCAGGGCCAGGACATTGTATGAACACACAGTAAATGTTTGTCTAAAATAAAGTTCCTTATGATTCCAGTTATTTGCAGCTTCGCTGTGTCCATGGTTTCTGTAGACAGAAGGAACTGGTCAGTCAGGTGACGTGTTTCCTCCCTCAGACTGTCAGAGGGTTCACACAGCGTTCTTTCTAATGTGGCTTCATGTCCACTCTAATGAAACCTGAAGCATGAGGGACCTGTGGGTTAATACCCCCAACAAAAGAAGCTGTAGCTTCTACACCATGCTAGCTGCAGCTGGATGTTGTGTCTGCTCCATCTCTGCTTGTTTGAAGCTGTTCTGATTGTCTCAACAGGAACGTGGAACGGTACCACGCGGGTGGCCATCAAGACTTTGAAGCCGGGCACCATGTCGCCGGAGGCCTTCCTGGAGGAGGCTCAGGTCATGAAGAAACTCAGGCACGAAAAGCTGGTCCAGCTCTACGCCGTGGTGTCCGAGGAGCCCATCTACATTGTGACTGAGTACATGAGCCAAGGTGGGTGGTAAATCCTCTTTACTTCAGTCGACCTAAAGAATTCAAATGGTTTGTGGATTAGTTTAGCCTTGATTCCTAATTAAATTCAAAGAAATGAGACCTGCTTGTTAGTTATTTTTGTTTTGATGCTTTAATGAACTCCATTACTCATGTTTTCTGCCAACAGGCAGCTTATTGGATTTCCTGAAAGGAAACATGGGAAATATCCTGCGGCTCCCTCAGCTGGTGGACATGTCCTCACAGGTCAGCTCATATCAGTTAGCACTTCTGCCTGCAGCTTTTTAATGTCAAATAGTAATAAAGCAGCTTCTTCTTCCTCAGATTGCTTCAGGGATGGCCTATGTGGAGAGGATGAACTACGTGCACAGAGACCTGCGAGCTGCAAACATCCTCGTKGGAGAAAACCTGATTTGTAAAGTTGCTGATTTTGGTCTGGCTCGCCTCATCGAGGATAATGAGTATACTGCCAGACAAGGTGACTCAGAGTTTACGTTTGTGTTGGAGGGCTTCTTCTGCTTTACCTTGTTCAACAGCTGGAGCCTTCATTAAAAACCTGAGCTAAATGTTGTTGATGTGAAGAAGTCACACAGCTCTGGTTCTTAAACATTCAAGATTTTATTCTACGTCCATAAAACCTTTGTTTGGTGTCTGCTGCTGGTCGTTACCAACTGTTCTGTGGAGGTATACTGGTTGTTGTTGACCCGTGAGACGATGGGTCAGTTGGTTGATGGGTTAGTTGGCCGATGGGTCATTTGGTTGATGGGTCAGTTGGCCAATGGGTTAGTTGGCTGATGGGTTAGTTGGCCGATGGGTCAGTTGACCAATGGGTCAGTTGGCCGATGGGTCATTTGGTTGATGGGTTAGTTGGTTGATGGGTTAGTTGTTGATGGGTCAGTTGGCCGATGGGTCATTTGGCTGATGGGTTAGTTGGCCGATGGGTTAGTTGTTGATGGGTCAGTTGGCCGATGGGTCATTTGGTTGATGGGTCAGTTGGCCGATGGGTCAGTTGGCCGATGGGTCGTTTGGTTGATGGGTTAGTTGGCCGATGGGTTAGTTGTTGATGGGTCAGTTGGCCGATGGGTCATTTGGTTGATGGGTCAGTTGGCCGATGGGTCAGTTGGCCGATGGGTCGTTTGGTTGATGGGTTAGTTGGCCGATGGATCAGTTGGTTGATGGGTTAGTTGGCCGATGGGTCGTTTGGTTGATGGGTTAGTTGTTGATGGGTTAGTTGGCTGATGGGTTAGTTGGCCGATGGGTCAGTTGGTTGATGGGTTAGTTGGCCGAGGGGTCAGTTAGCCGATGGGTCAGTTGGTTGATGGGTTAGTTGGCCGATGGGTCAGTTGGTTGATGAGTCAGTTGGCCGATGGGTCAGTTGGCCGATGGGTTAGTTGGTTGATGGGTTAGTTGGCCGATGGGTTAGTTGGCCGATGGGTCAGTTGGTTGATGGGTTAGTTGGCCGATGGGTCAGTTGGCCGATGGGTTAGTTGGTTGATGAGTCAGTTGGCCGATGGGTCAGTTGGCCGATGGGTTAGTTGGTTGATGGGTTAGTTGGCCGATGGGTTAGTTGGCTGATGGATCAGTTGGTTGATGGGTTAGTTGGTTGATGGATTACTTGGCTGATGGTTTCGTTGGCCGATGGGTTCGTTGGCCGATGGGTTCGTTGGTTGATGGGTTAGTTGGTTGATGGGTTACTCGGCTGATGGGTTAGTCGGCTGATGGGTTAGTTGGCTGATGGGTTAGTTGGTTGATGGGTTAGTTGGTTGATGGGTTACTCGGCTGATGGGTTAGTCGGCTGATGGGTTAGTTGGCTGATGGGTTAGTTGGTTGATGGGTTAGTTGGTTGATGGGTTACTCGGCTGATGGGTTAGTCGGCTGATGGGTTAGTTGGCTGATGGGTTAGTTGGTTGATGGGTTAGTTGGTTGATGGGTTACTCGGCTGATGGGTTAGTCGGCTGATGGGTTAGTTGGCTGATGGGTTAGTTGGTTGATGGGTTAGTTGGTTGATGGGTTACTCGGCTGATGGGTTAGTCGGCTGATGGGTTAGTTGGCTGATGGGTTAGTTGGTTGATGGGTTAGTTGGTTGATGGGTTAGTTGGTTGATGGGTTACTCGGCTGATGGGTTAGTCGGCTGATGGGTTAGTTGGCCGATGGTTAGTGTGTTTCAGCCCCTAGAGGTGCTGTTGGCCTGTTGTCTCACAGCGTGCTCTTGTTTTACGGCTTCATAATGCTTTAAAGGCCTTTGCACTGTGTAGTCAGCTGATCTGCTCAGAGCCCGGCAGCAGAGTGGACCTGTAAACACATGAACGAGCTACCAGGACGAGCAGCTGCAGAGATCATAATATCTTGTGCTATAAAGCTCAGCCTCAGAAAACAATCTCCCTGTTTGTCCCTCACATACAACAGAGACATTTCTGTGCTGTGGCTCTAACCCATCGTGTTATTACTCAGTGGAACATTATCTGACAATCACCAGAGGCACAATATAAAACAATGTTTTTGAAAACCAAGAGTTAAAAATTAGTTTTATTTAAAATTTAGTTTAAAACTTAGAATCTAGCCTCTCTGAGACAACCAGTCTAAAACAAATGTCCTCAACATCAAGATGCAGGTTCTCAAGAGGTCAGAGCTGGTTCACGATAAGTGTTCATATCTCCATAATTACTGATTAGTTTTCGACAATACTGGTCTGGCTCTTGTCAAACTTAATATATTTGAAATCCTGCCAAACTGTTCACATTTCCTCTTTAATCCACAATTTCCTCTAGAGCTGTTGCATCATTTTCTCCTTTCACTCCAAGCTGTTCTTTTTTATTTTTAAACACTTATGAGGTGAAACATGAAACACATACTTCATGTTACTCCACGTTTGTTTGTTTGTTTGTTTGTTTGTTTGTTTTTTGTTTTTTTTGCTAGCTTACCTTGTGTAGCTGCAGGCTTTTAGCTTTTGTGGTTTTTGTATTGACTCCCTTTTCAGTTGTTTTTTTCAGGATGTCTCGTTTCAGTGTCACAGCATCCTAAATCAATATTTCATTTCATAGTAACTACGATGGTGGACTGGTCCAGCAAACTAGTGCTTTATCACTCAAATGTGTCAACAAGAGGGAGACAGAAACCCTGGTTTACACATTTCAAAATGAACCGTGAGCATTTTTTAGTGGGCATTTGTAATTTATAAACAGCTTGAAGCTTTTATTTTGAAGGTGAATCTTAGTTTTCCCAGTAATGTTTAGATGAAAGCTCCTAGCTCGTTTTATCAGAAAGTTATCAACTGTTAGCAGTTAATAACCAGTGAAATCATCTATATAATTCTATTTTAATTTCTGTTGGTATTGAACATTTATCTTTGATTTTTGATTGATCTACCTGGATGACAGAATGGTCAGCAGCATTATAAATATAAAATGTGTGTATAAAATGTGTGTATAAAATATAAAATGTGCCATCACGGTGGCTCTGTTGATGGAGTGTACACCTCAAACAAATGGTTTTGTAATTATGATTGTTTTAAACCAAACTTTGACCAAATGATGTTCAGATCTAACATGAACCCGGCAGTTGAAAGTGGGACGGTCTGTCAGAAGTCCGGGACCACCTGGACCTCAGTCTGTCCCTGTTTGCTTTAAGGACTAAATGTTTACATTCAGTGTCTGCAGTTGTAACCCTGCACCAGTGGAAACTGTTAATTTACCAGTTCATTCCAGCTCTCACATGTAGTCATGATGTCAAACATCCATCCATCCATCCATTTTCTGTACACGCTTCTTCCTTTTCAGGGTTGCGTGGGTCACTGGTGCCCATATCCAGCAGTCACAGTGCGAGGGGCGGGGTACACCCTGGACAGGTCGCAAGTCCATCACACTCCTTTTGATTTACAGCTGAGCTTAAAGATGAGCAGCACTGGTATCTGTAGAATCATTGGTTCTCAGCGTTCAGTGGAACCAGTTGGGTCGGTCCAAACATCTGGATGTTTTCTTGTACCGGTGGTTTTGTCTCTGTGGGATTAGGGCAGTTGACTCCCTGAGAGCTTCTTTGGACCTTCAGGCACACAGCGGGTTTCATCAGACCTCCTGGTTCAGTTTCACATTTCCTCAAATTGATTTCTGCCTCAGAGGAATGTTAACAAGTAACTATATTTACACTGAAAGCTGTTGTTTGTGCACGGTGATAAGAGCTGGGATTTTCCAAATGCAGTTCAGTTTCACCGACATGTCAGAGCAGCCTGAGGCTACAGCTAACAGTCCTAATGGTATTTCCTCAAAACTTTCAATGTGAGTTGAACATCCTGTAGCAGGAAACCTAAGTCTAACTATAGGATTTCTGAAAAAGGAAAGTCTTCAGTCTAATCTTAAAAGTAGACAGAGTGTCAGCCTCACGGACAGAAACTGGAAGTTGGTTCCACAAGAGAGGAGCTTGATAACTGAAAGCTCTGCCTCCCATTCTACTTTTAGAAACTCCAGGAACCACAAGTAAACCTGCAGTCTGACAGTGAAGTGCTCTGTTAGGAAAGTATATAACTAACAGGTGTTTTTAGTCATGTTTAGAAAATAAAACATATCAATCGCATTGTTACACTGATCAGTCAGAATCTAAATATTAAAGATATTAACTCCATTAGGCCTGGGACGGTATGAAATTATGACAGTATGATAACCTTGGCCAAAAATATCACAGTTTTGAGGTATGACAGTATTATGATTACTGCTCTAAAAATTTAGTTTTGAAATTTGTATTTAAAAACAAAAAAGAAAATAACTTTTTTATTGTCATATTCAAGTTTGACTATGTTTGGAAGCTGTTTTCAGATGTGTTCTGCTGAAATGTTATTTACCTGTGTGCATCTGTATGTGAGGTGCAGGCAGGACAAACCCAGGGTGCAGGCAAAAATCCAAAGTTTAACAAAAGATTTATTAATTAAACAAAAAGGCTGGCAGAGCAGCTGAAAACCTGTCAGAGGAACAGGAACACAGAGAACACCACACTGGCTGGGTGGACAACACAATGAACGACACAGACTGAGGACAACACACCAAATATAAACACATCGGAAACACCTGGGGAGACACAAGAGGGATCAGGTGTGTGTGGGCGGGGCTGTAGGGCGGAGCAACACGGACCATGACACTGTACTTACAGTATGATTTTTAGCACCTAATGCAGTTAGTTTATCCTGAAAGTAAGATAACTGATTTTCTGTTGCTTTATTATTTAAGACAAGTCAGTGTGTACTGCACAACAAGTCTTTTTATTGAAGTAAAGTAACACGTTTTTATCGTGTTTTAAATGACAAAAGGGTTTTTGACATAAAKATTATATAAWTATATGCACACAGAAACAAGAAGTCACAGCTATAAATGTGTGTTTATGAAACACACGTTCAGCTAACGAGCTGCTGGGCTAAAGGAGGCATCAGTTTTACCACCTATCACTTAAAACTTATCAAACACACAATCCAACAACTCAAACTGTGTGACAGAATATTTTAGTGGTTTTCAAACCGTGACTTGTTCACATCACAGTATATCTTAAAACAGGTATTTGGCCCAGGCCTAAACTCCACATTATCTGCCTTCTTTAATTGTTTGTCTTCAGACATAAACTTATAATATCTTTGAGTGTTAATCTTTGACTCAGTGACCTGCAGTAAATTAATACATGWTTTCATACAGGAGCAAAGTTTCCCATCAAGTGGACGGCTCCTGAAGCAGCTCTTTACGGACGCTTCACCATCAAATCTGACGTCTGGTCCTTTGGGATCCTGCTGACTGAACTGGCCACCAAAGGCCGAGTGCCGTACCCAGGTACGTCCTTTTGTAGGCTTAGTCTCAATCCAGGAACACTTCCTGATCAGATTATCCCTGAGCATGTGCTAATATCATAAAATATTAATGTGTTGCCTACAGTGTGGCTCTTTGTTTGTCATGTTAGCAGAATATTATCTCATGAACCACCAGACAGTGAAGGGAAATGAAGCTAAATTTGGTGTGGTAGTAGCTGAGCATCATTCCTAACCTGCCACAGTTACTGTACATTATACAAGATCTTTGCTTCAAATGTTGACATTAGGTTAGGGTTTAATTGTTTATTTATTCCATTTCTTACACAAACAACAAAATATGTGTACAATAAAAAAAACACAAATCACAAAAATCAAATGAAAAACGACAGAAAGAAGAAAAAAAATCATATAATATCTGCGCCTTTTTTCTCAAAAAATAAATTTAAACAATGATAATCTTTAACATTAACCCTGTTTGTTAGCAAAATATCTCAAGAACACTTGATGTATTCTAATCAAATGCAGTAACAGCGCAGATGTTAATATTCTGAATTAATACACAAATGTTACATTTTGTGGCACATTTTCTGTGAAAAAGTTACTTATTTAATCAGTTATCAGTTGTCATGTTTTCCTCCCTCACCTCTGGTTGTGACTTGTGAAAAACATCTGCTCTAATATTAAAACTGAGAAACACCTCCTGCTGAAATTAATCAGACAGCTACACAACATCCTGGATCAGATTTATAATTTAGTTTTGAGTAATAAACCTGCGATCATACTCCAGATTAACCACATTAAAAGGGGGAAGACGTCCTGTGAAGTACTTCTAAATATAAATATAAAATGTGGGCTGCTGTTTGTAAAGTTACACAGTCAAAAATTACCACCAATATTTATGTTTTATTTAGACTTTTATAAGAAAAAAGAAC